AGTCTGCGCTGAAAGGGACCAGGTTCGAGTCCGTGGATGCAGTGAAAGCAAAAGCGACGCAACTCTTGAAGAGCATAACACAAGATGACCTGCAGCACTGCTTCCAACAGTGGAAAATTCGCATGGAGCGGTGTAGGGATCGGGGAGGGGACTACATTGAAGGGGATAACATTTCGACTGTCTGATTTTTTTTTAATAAAGGGTTAGAGCATGAATCCGGTTTCTTTATTGCCACACCTTGTATATGTTTCGTTTTAACACATTTGAATCAGTAGCTAGTTTCATGGGCATCTCAGACTCTGTGAGAATATTGTACAAGACTTCCTTCCTGACTCACAGGCTTTCTTGAAGTCTATAAATAGCTGATGTACTGTCTCATATCATCAGTGAAAACTTCAAGTTAATGTTAAATATGTAACCTGATGACCTATTTTTGCACAATTTATGCTACAAGAAGGTTGTCAGACATAGCCTCAAGTACAGTATACTTACCCCTGAATATCCAGTTTGTGGCTTATCTATGCACTTTCCTAGGTGCATTCACAACCCTGCTGAGCTGTGATTAAATTTGTTGAGTCTGTTTGTCTGAAGATTTAGAATAACCTGTAATAAAGTAACATACCCATTTTCTTTCCAGTAAACCACAGCCCTGGCAAAAACAGTCCTGCTGAAGAAGTTCCTGACTTTGAATTTAACATATGGACTAAACCAGACTGTGCTGGAACAGAATTTGAGAACAGTAACAGGACATGGTTTTATTTTGGTATTAAAGGTAAGCTATGTATCCAAAAAATTGAGTAAATTTTGTGTGTTTGCTTTCTGAGTTTTCTCCCAATAAGTGGCTTGGTATAATTGATGAAACAAATTGAAAGACATTAAATTCTGCGCAGGCAAGATGTTTACTGAACAGCAAGACCACTCTATGCAAGAAATGATTTAGGGCTCCAGATATTTTTTAACTGAGTACATGCAGCAGAAACTTTCTTGAGAAGCTAATAGTCACTCAGCTAGCCAAATTCCATGCAATTTATGGAACTCTTTACGATTTATTACCTTGTTCACAAGAGCCTGCCACTGGTCCTTATCCTGTGCCGTACAGAATCAGTCCACACTCTTCCATCACTCTGTGAGAAAAATTTTGGTTGCTTTAACTTGTACTTATATAAATGAAAATTGCATTGTTATGTAAGCATTCAGTTTATTATCACTTGTAGGTGGAACTCCATTTGTTCTTGTGAAGCTCAACATTGTAAACCTGAACCGTCAGTCAAAGATGTATAGTCAAGGGATGGCACCAGTATTTCGCATGGTACCAGGACGGAGCAATTGGGATCGCGTCAAGGAGAAACCTACTTATGCTGTATGTACCTGCTGAAGAAGGATGGCTCAGAGGTTGCTAACATGCAATGTGATTGAATTTACTTATGTCTGAGTCCTTATGGAACGTTGTTAAATTGCTGAAATAAGTTGTCAAATTTATATTATAGTAACTTGTGTGGAGTGTGCCTATAGGTGTGGTTTGGATTGGTAATCAGATTTATTGCACACTTATACACACAACTTGTAACTACAAGTAACTATATTGTTATTGCTAATTCACATTCCGCAATTCACTACAGCTCATAGAAAGAGCTAACCTCAGTCACCGAACTGAATGAGGTTAGCTACTTCTAAGGGACCCAGCAAAGTAGGTGTCACCCCTTCACCTGAGGACAGAAATAGATTTAGTTTTTGAACTGTGTTTTCTAGTTTTTAGAATACCAGACGATGGACGAAGTCTGAAAACCCAGTAATTCTGAGTTTTATACACCTTTCTCAGAACCCCTTTAGAATCTACCACATCCATTATTCTGACTTAACAGTATGAGTATGAGGGGTGGGCCATAAAAAGCGGCCCTTGCACCGCATCCTTCAATGATCTATTGTGCTTCGACTTACCAGTAAGCTCTTGGAAGAACGTAGGCAGCTGCTTTTCATTAAGTTGTTCAAAAAATTATTGTATAGTGTAGTGGCTATTAAAAACTCAACTTGAAAGTTTCCTAATTTGTTGTATCAAAATTGTATCCTGCCATGTGGTTGTGACTTTTTAATACATTTATAGGTTTACCAGGCCCCACAGCATAATGCTGTACACCTTGACTTAGGAGGATCATTGTCCTGTTCACCATCCTTTCAGATGTTAACCATTCCACAACAAGGACACAGGGGTTTGCTTTTGGAGGGGATATAAGGCTGTAAAGTTTACCATGAGGGAATTTATCCTCTGTGAGTGCAAACAAACATACGAAGTGTATCAGAAAGTTCCCGAACTAGGTCAAAAAATAAATGCTGGCTTATTCAATTTTGGCTGCCATCTTCTTCATAATAGTCTCCTTGGGAATGTATACAGCAATCCCATCGTGTTTCTATGCTTCAAAAGCACTGTAGAATTCATTTTCTTTAATGCTTTCGAGTACTGCTTGTGATTTCCTTCAGATGTCAGACACTGTTTTGAAATGTTGTCCCTTCAGTTTCATTTTCAATTTGGGAAACAAAGTGAAATCACAGGGGCTAAGTCTGGCAAGTAGGGAGGATCAGTAATGGTAATCACATTGTAGTCATGCCAGGTTTAATGAACACGTGTCCATTGGTTGAACAGCTTTCAGGATGGAATGGACATGTTCACATTTCACATATTGCCATAAATTTGTTTTTCTAAAATAAAGAAATTGGGCTTGAAATCTGAAGCAGCCATGGCCTCATTCATCTTGGAAAATTGAAGACACACTGTATTTGTATAATTATTCTTTTTTCAGGTTGAAGATGATGTGTTCATCTTAAGTTTCAAGTACCGTACCTTGGAAAATATCCGAGCCACAACTTACTTTGCCTTCACATATCCATTTACATATGTGGACTTACAGAACATGTTAAATTCTATTGACACACGCTTCAGAAACCCACCTGGTAAATTTATCAATCTCTTGTATGCTCTACTTTGCTTTAATGATTGTAGAGATATAATGAGGGGGGGCACGCAGTAGCATAGTTGGTTGAGGCATTGTGGTACAAGCCAGAAGGTTGCGGGTTCAAGTCCCGATGAGGTCATTGGATTTTTTTCAATTGACCTAACCCTTCCAGCCACACTATGGTCCTGGGGTCAACTCAGCCTCTAACAGAAATGAGTGCGAGGAATATTCTTGGAATGTTCTTGGGGGTAAAGGACGGCTGGCACGTAGGGCAGACAACCTTACCGCCATCTATGAGCTGATTGTCTAAAAAATGTGAGAACCTCAACATCTCACAACCCTATGGGCCTCCACAGCCTGTTACAGGGATACCTTTTCTTAGAGATATAATGAGGAAGTTCATGGTAAGTATTATAAGATTTATTCACACGTGAAAAAGATAAACATGTCACATTAGTCATGAAAATTTTTGTGAATGTTTTAGGTGAGTTTCGAATACCAAATTGCCTCGATGACATTTACTATCATCGTGAATGTGTGTGTTATTCCTTGGAGGGGCGTCATGTGGATCTTATTACTATATCATCATTCCATAATATGAGTTCAGAAAGAGAGACTAGACTCAAGAATTTGTTTCCAATGAGTGATGTGCCAAGGCCATTTTGCTTTCACAGAAAGAAGGTAATTTATTTTTTTGAACTGTTAAGTAATCATGGTGTAACATTTTCTTTATACACATAGTAAAATTTTGCAACAGCACTCTAATGTAATAATATTTAATGAGGAAAACTGAGCTTGAAAATAAGAGAAAATTATAAATATGGGCTAGCAGGAAAATGTGCAAAATATGTGTCACCTTTGCTGGTGTGTGATCCACTGATTATTTAACTGTTATGCAAAACACCGTTTTCAATAAGTAAGGTGTAAGTCCTGTCTGTTAAAGGTATACTGTAGTGCATCAACTACAAATGTTATTTAGCTTACAAAAAGTAGTGCTGGATTTTATTCTTACAATAATGACTATGAAGTACATCAGTTCTTTGATGGAACATACTTCCTCCATAGTCAGCGTCGGGTAGTAAGCCAAGCAAGAATAAGGTGGCAAAGAGAGCAAAGCACATGCAGAAAGCTAGTATCTGATTCAGGGTAGGAGGGAAACCAGAGAGAGCCAGTGGGAGCAGACTCATTATCTGCCACTTGCTTCTTGGTGGCTTCTTTATTGGGTTACTCATATACCCTGAAGATGGAGGCCGCATGTTCTTCCAAAATGTTGGTGGTCTGGGCCATGCAGCATTATGTCCCAGACAAAAGGGTGATCATATGCTGTAAACTGGAAAGGATAGTGAGGAAACAGTGATGCACTAATCAAGGTACAGTAGATGAATTTTCATGAAAGGATCAAGTAAATTCCTGAGAAACTTCAGTAAGTGTGGCTGTTGTTCAAGTCAAGATTACAATCTGGTACCTCTGAAATTCAGATCAGGCATGTTAGTGCTGAATGAGCTTGCTTAGGTTTGTATTATCCAATCATGTCTCAGCGGGTCTACATGCTACAATATAACAGGAGAATATTTTGTAATAAGGAGCTTCATAACTCGTGCTCTTCCCCAAATATAATAAAAATGATAAAGCGAAGAAAGATGCTGAATAGCTGAGCAACTGGTTGCTTCACAAGAAGGACTCAGCTCCATGGAGTTTGTTTATTTATTTACTTGCTAGCTAGCTAGCTAGTTATGTTTTGAAAAGTCAGGAGGTGACGTAATTTGTAATACGCAAATTTAAGATGATGCTTGGCTTTTTACATGTCGATTCTGCGAAGAAAAATATTAAATCTCTATTTTGGAAATTCAGCTAGAAGTACTGTATGATTTGTTGTTCTTACAGAAGTAGTTATGAAGAGTCATGTCTCCTGGAATATAACACCATGTAGTCCAGTGAAAGTAAACCATTGTTTCAGAGGAACTGTCACCACCATCTTTAGGGTTGAAGCATAAGCCAAAGCTTGAAGCAGGCTGCAACTAGAGCTCAGCCTGCTGGCTGCTTCATGTTAGTTTCTTCAGAATAACAAGAAGGCTGAAATTCTTTATGTGACAGCATTTTGTGACTGATGTTGTGTTTCTGAGTTATCAAAAATACAATGGAGAAAATGTAACTTTTAGTTCGGAACATATATTTTCCATATACTGATCTCAATTACTGAATCACACATCTGTTGAATATTTTTAATGTAATTTACTTTTTGTAATTTGTTTTACTTCTGCAGGTTGTATTTGTTAGTGCCCGAGTACATCCAGGTGAGACACCATCCAGTTTTGTTCTGAATGGCTTGTTGAACCTTTTATTGACACGTGATGACCCTGTGGCCATTCTCCTTAGAAAAATATATGTGTTCAAACTCATTCCAATGTTGAATCCAGATGGAGTCTCCCAGGGTCATTACCGTACTGATACAAGAGGTGTCAATTTGAATCGCATGTACTTGAATCCTGTGTTTGAGCTACATCCATCTGTATATGCTGCACGGGCTCTAATAAGATATTATCACCATGGTCAAGAGATGGAAGAGGAGTTTGCAGTGGATTCTGTGATTCCAAACACAGATTGTAAAAGTGTCAACAAACATTTATTAAGTGCAAGTGAACTTGAAAAATTAAAGCATGATGGTGCTGCTACTATATCATCTCTCAAGTGTTTGAGTCCTGAAAGGCAGGATGATGTAAGAAATAACAGAGAACATTTACTACAATTATCTGATACAGGCAGAATTTCCGGTATAGAAAACCAAGTGTCAGGGCTCAGTTTGGATGAAAAGCAGAATGAATCCTCACAGTGTTCTGCAACTAGTACCAATAACAGATCAGAACCAGCTCCACAGAACAGTAATATCAGTATGATGGTGCAAGAAAAAAGGGACCTGTTTTCCACAATTCATGCAAATATACTAAATGCTGTAGGTAATGCTGATGCTATATGCAACCATAATAATAATAATAATAATAATACCATTCCTGTTCTTTCTGAAGGGCTGCCTGGAAAACCTTTGCTTCTTAGAAGTATTTCATCAATTGTTGAAGTGTCAGCAGTTCCACTTTATACATGTAAAGTGGATGAAAGAATTACAGATAGTTCAGTCTTGAACAGTGTGGTTAGTGTTGATGGTTGTTTATCAGATACTCTTCCCAGTGTTTGTGAGAAAGTATCTAGTGCAGACCACAGCATAGGATCCAGTTCTGGGAAAGCCATTGCTGACACGAATGCTGAAGAGGACTACAAGTGTCTGAAATATGAAGGAGAAATGAATGTCAGCTCCCAGAATTTTGATCCACACCATAACAAGTCTCCAGAAGGACTTCCAAATAAGGTTGATTCCAAGAAAATCACAATTACACCTGAAGACTCTGGCCTGTACCTGTATGTAGATTTACATGGACATGCTTCAAAAAAGGGTTTGTTATTTTCTAATGGTTTACCTTCTCTGTCTTGTTAATTATTTTCTATGTAATGATGTAGAGGTTTCGCATAGAATTCAAATTTTCAAATGTCTGTTCTTGTTCGGTTCTGTTCTTCTTCAGCTTAGTACAATCGAAATAACCCCTTCCTGGATTACCTTGGTGCCCCTCTACATCATCTTTAATGTTGTTTTGCCTCCCATAATTTCTTAGGCTTTTATTTTCCATTGTGTACACATATACTTAAAATATGTGGTTTGAGTTTTCTATTGTTTGCTAGTTTAATCTGAAAAGTTATTTTTATGTTTCTAATTTTATTGCTTGTACATATGTATGTGTTAAATTGACTCTACTACCTTCTCAGAGAAAAAAAAATATGAAAAAGAACTATAAATCAGACAAAAGTAATATTTCTTGTAAATATATTCTCTTTTCTTACATAATAATGACAGAACAAATGCTGATCATCTAGTGTAAATAATACTGTATGAGGTGGATTCACTTCCACCAGTTTATTAATTTACAGAATTTATATTGTGACCAATTATGAGAGGTCAGTGAACACTTGAAATATTATTTACATTGATGGTTTCTTTTAAGTAATACAGTATGTGCCAAAATATGCAGTACTGAAACTTGTGCATCTCGAACGCGCATGTGCATTTGTCGACAGGGCATAGCTTCGTTGTTCCCAGTAGTGAAAAGGAAGTTGTGTTGTGCAGTTGTTCTTGGAAATGGGTCTCTCGATGGAGGAAAAAGTATTTATAGTTGAGTGTTATTTCCGCTCATATGGAAGTGGTCGCCAGACAATTTGCTTCCGTGGTTTTGAGCAACCAGATGTTATCATCCAGAAACTGCTACATAGTACATGTGTGATTATACGGTATGCCGTCTCAGCACACTATATATAAGGCCCCTATTTCATAGAGGATGAGGAAGACAGTGCTCTTACCTGTCACCCAAGAATGCTACAGGGACATGGTGATCGGACCATTTCTTCAGGAGTTGAGAAGGTTCTGTCATGCAAGGGGCCTTCTCACGAATAGACAGTGGTATCAACAGGATGTCTTTTCATTTCATTACTGTATATTTTGGCGCATACTGTATTATTATTATTGTATTATGCCAGGGTCATTTTTGTTGTTGTTTTTGTTGTAGTTGTTGTGGTGGGAACAGCACATGTGTTGTTTGATGTACTCGTATTAGCTTTTAAAGGTGTCAGTACATACATTAAAAATTTATGTACAGCTTGGAAAAATGAGGCCCTTTATGTTTTGAAAGGATTGATTTTCAGTTGAATGGTTTTTTGTGATTGTCATTATTATTGTCATCATGATTATTGTTGCTATATTTTAATTTATTACTTCCAGGTATTTTCATGTATGGCAATTATTTTGAAGATACAGAGGACAGCATAGAGTGCATGTTGTTGCCCAAAATCATGTCACTGAATTCTCAAAACTTCCATTTCACTGCCTGTAATTTCACTGAGAAGATTATGTATCTGAGGTAACAAGGTGAAATCCTACATAATATTATGTGTTTTAAAAATAAAGTTAAAATTACCATATTACTTTGAATACAAGGGGCACATTTTACACATTTTTGCCTTTGAAGAATAGAGATGTGTCTTAAATCTGAAGAAATTGCACCTTCCTAATTTTTTCTTCCAGCCCACATTCCAACATTGGATGCATCTTAAATTTTATGGAGTCTTATATTCAAAGTAATATGTTATGTAACAAATTGTATTGTGCAAATTAATTATTTGTTATGAATGAATGAATGTATGTATGAAGGGTAGGCCTTCTTGGCACTTGCACCTAGATCTCAGTGGTCCATTGTGCTTCCCCCTTTTTAATTATTCCCTCAGCAACCCCACGCTTCAAATGAAGCGCAGGATTTTGGACATGGGGTTGTCAAAATAGTCACTTGGTTCCATAAAGTACTGACCCAAGTGACGTAGTCTTAAATAAGCTAAAGCCTCACATTCACACAGGACATGTGTGGCTGTTTCATTTTCTATCTGACACCTCTCACAAGTGGGGCAATCACGTAGTCCCAGTTTTAACAGGTGTCCTTTGAGGTGACAGTGTCCTGTAAGTAGTCCTACCACCCATCGTAGCTGGTTCCTGTTGAGCTTCAACAGTTCATTCGCTCTTTTAGCGGAAGGTCCTCGTATGAGTCCCTTTGCTTGCCTGAGTCCAGTTAAGGATTCACAGTATTTCTTATGTTTTATGTTAGTCCAGTCCCTGATTGCCTGTTTGGCAACTCCTAGAGAGATGCCACTGGCTGGTTCAGGTCCTATGAACAGATATTCAGCTCCAATTTTAGCTAATTGGTCTGCTGCTTCATTTCCAGTAATACCCTCATGCCCCGGCACCCATATCATTTGTACCCTGTTATGTTTGGTCAGTTCCATGAGGGTTTGGTGGCAATCCCAGACCAATTTTGAATTGGTCTGGTGTTTGTCAAGCGCTTTAAGTGCAGCTTGGCTGTAAGATAAAATGTAGATGTTCCTATTTCTATAGTTCCTATCTAAATTCTCCATAATACATGCTTTAATGGCATATACTTCTGCCTGGAATGCTGTCGTGTACTGCCCAAGGCCGAAACGAAGTTTCCTCCTCGTGCCGTAGCAGTACACACCAGCTCCAGTGCCCTTATTTATCTTGGAACCATCTGTATACCAGAACAGTCCCCCTTTTCTATCAGGCTGAAACCCGTCTCCCCATTTACTCCTGTCAGGTTTTTCATATACATGTCTCAGTATCATTTTGTCAGACCCCCATCTGAATATGGGTTCCTTTTTCATGTCCTGAGTTATGTGTGCATGGCCGAAACCATTGGATCTAGGTTTCCATTGTTCACTGCACTGGAGATGGTAAATTCCTGCCCTGGCCTCTGCATCCAACTGTACATGCAGTGGGGGGGAGTCCAAGGAGTATCTCCAGTGGAGCTGTTGGAGATGTTCGAAATGCTCCTGTGATACCTAAGCAAGCCAACCTTTGCAATTTGCTAAGTTCTGTGTTGCTTGTCTTGAATTTAACTCTGGGCCATCATACTGTGGCACCATAAGTAATTATGGGTCTCACAACCACAGTGTATATCCAATGTATAATGTGTGGCTGCAGTCCCCAAGTTTTACCAAACATGCTTCTGCATGTCCAAAAAGCCGTATAGGCTTTGTTAATGACTTTGTTCAGCTGCTTTTTCCATGTCAGTCCATTGTCTAATTCTAGACCAAGGTACTTGACATCGCTGGAGAGCTGGATTGTCTTATTGAAGAGAGTCGGTTCCTTAAGACCCTTTATATTTCTCTTCCTAGTAAACGGTATAAATACTGTCTTATTGGGATTGATGGAAAGACCTGTTCTTTCATACCATCGTTGGACCATGTACAGAGCTGTTTGAAGACGCTCTGATACGGTCGAAAGGAATTTTCCATTTATGAGGATTGCTATGTCATCAGCACATGCTACCGTATTGTAACGTGTTTTGTGACTGAAGACGCCGTTCGGATTGTTAATTGGTTTATTTAGCCCTTTGACGTGGTCATTTAAATTCCGCGGCCACGGCTCCTGCGGTAATATATTCAGCCGGCCATTTAAATTTTGCTCGAAAATTATTTATTCATCATTGTTCTTAAATTCTATGAGATAGGAACATGAAACTTTCACTAAAATGATCTTAAATTGTGGTTTTATAACCTTACCTTATAATATGGGAGCCCTGTATCTCGGCCATGGGTGCAGGTTGTTTAGTATTTGAGCAGTGAATGGTACGCCTTGAAGGATGAAACTTTCACTAAAATGATCTTAAAAGATGGTTTTATAACCTTGCCTTATAATATGAGCACCCGGTATCTCGGCT